GTGCATACTTCCTGTAAATCTGTGTGTACTTCCTGTATATCTGTGTGCACTTCCTGTATATCTGTGTGCACTTCCTGTATATTTGTGTAACCTGTCCTGATAATCTGTCCTTGTAAGTAAAAAACAGTTAAAAATCTTCTCCCGTCGTCGAGTGTGGCTCCTTTTGAGTAAGTGAGATAAAGCGAGGATATTTTTCTCCAACATTTAGTTTCCATAAACTCTGGAGTGACAGAGCTTTATTTTGACACCTGCACAGGAGCTCTTGCACATATTGGTCCTATCTCACTGAGCTGCGTGACGTTGGCAAACGGATTATATTATGTTATATATTGAGTGAGTTTCTAGAATATTTTGTAACTTGCAGTTCTAAAACTCATGAGTTGCAGAGGCATGAAGCTGGCCACTTGACTTTTGAATGCGTAAAAGAAAAGCACAACTTTTTTTCTCAAAATAGTTAGTTGTTGAGTGTCTCTAACTTGCCTCAAACTGAACAGAATTTTGCTGAAAGGTGTCTCAAATCATCTTAGGAGCACTAGAACTATGTTTTGACTCCCGCACTGGAGCTATTCTCTTACAGAAAAAAATCTGATGCAGCATTCCAGGTCATGCTCACATGGGGGTGTGCTGCTTGTGGGACTCAAGTTTGTTGTGGCTCCTCGGACTGATGAAGTCCTTTGGATGAAGGGCAAAACGTCTCAACGTCCAGATGACCTGAAATTTGTTTATCTTCATTTCTAAAATGTACTTTAGCAGATTAAATAAAATAAAAGCAGATGCCAAGGTGGATACAATGCGAGCTGATGTGGACAACATAATGTGCACATCCTAAAATACAACAAAAAAGGTTGAATCATGTCATCTGGACTTCGTTTTTTTGTTAAAAAGAAACGTTTCGCCCCTCATCCAAGAGGCTTCGTCAGTCTGAGGCCTAGCCATGTGGTATTACCCAGAAGCCACCCTGACTCTTGTGTTTCAAGCCTGCCTCAGATACCCCTGAAGTCTGGCCTTTTCACTAATGGTTTCAAAAACACAAAGTTTGTTTTCTCAGTCATCCAGGTATATAACAACAAAAAAGGTTGAATCATGTCATCTGGACTTCGTTTTTTT